TGTCTCAGAACTGGTGATTTGTACTCAAATCTAGTCATTCCATATTTAGAGTTAGCCTTTTTAATAAATCTTCTAATACTTTCAGAAAGGCTTGGTGGAACGATCGTTCCTTTTTTGAGTTTCAGCTTGAGTAGATGCTTGCTTCATTTTGGGTAGAACCATGAAAGGGGTCATGGAACGAGGTCGTTCCATTCCAAATTGGAACGACTTGATTGAGGGTTATTTTTTGAAATAACTTAATGGAACATGTGTTCCATCTACATGAACAATCATTCCATCTGAAAATTTGCATTTTCAGATGGAATGGGTGTTTTTTATTAATCTATTTTAAAAAGTGATAGATATTGAGCTCTCATGTGTTTTAATGTGCCAAAACTAATCAAATAATGTTAAGAACAAACAAAATTTGCAAAGGTATGATGTAAGTCATAACAAAAAATTATAAAGATAAAAAGTAGCAAAATTGGTCAGCAAACCCCACCTAACAACCACTTCTCGTGGTGGCCAACTACTATAGCTAGCGAACTTGCTGGTGGCGAGTAGGTTGACATTGCCAGGACCATTGTGATCGGCAAACAGTGATCTATGCAATGGTGTCAACGATTCGGTCAAAATCATTAGTGTTTTGTTGTGGTGAGCTAGAAAAAATCCAGTCAAACTTATTCGACTTGCTGTGGCAATACTTCTAGGTTTTTAACCAAGGTGTCAACACTGTAACGCCCCACTTGAGGTACGTAGCTAAGTTATGGTGTATTCCTTGAATGTTTATTGTTTTGCTTTTATTTGGGTTGATATATTGTTAATTTTGGTTGGCCCTTAGTTGAATTTTTGTTAAAGTTAGAAAAATGTAGAGAAAATCCCTTAAACTTTCATTAGGGGTAAAATTGTCTTTTCACTCAAAATTAGTGGAAATATGGGGAGTGAAAAGAGATAGAATTTCATAGAGAATGCATTAAAAATGACGGCATTATTGTAAATTGACTAAGGGACATAGATGGAATTTCTAAGAAAGAGCAAGGGCAAAAGGGAAAGTGTGGTTATAAATTAAAACTGTTAAGGGTTTGAAACCCTTCATTCTTCTTCTCCATCGCCACACTCCTCCCCAATTTCTCTCAAATGTCATTCAATCCTCCAAGGATTTTGAGGGCTTTTAAGTGATTTTTTATGGGTTTTGATTCTAGGCATTAAAAGTAAGGATCAAGCTCTTATCTATGATTTATTTGTGTAAAGGTTGAGTTCTTATGAAGTTTATGCTTAGGGTTAAGAGGAAATTGGAATCCAACAAAAATAGGAGCTTAGGAGAGACTACTAAGCCCAAGGTAAGTAAATTCCACTCAAAATCCAACTCAAGCTAAAATTTAAGAATCAAGTGAGTAGAGATTTCTTTTAAACATGCATATGTTGTGATTATGAGAAATTGAGATGAGATTGATGATGAATTATGCTTGTTGTTGGATATATTTGAATATGAGAAGTATATGTGATGATTTGATGATGGGTTGAAATTGGGAAGAATTGGAGAAATTTTGTGGAGTGTGTTTGCCATGTAGGTATGTGATGCTACAAGAGAGTTTTTCTCTCATTTGGATGGTTTGAGAACTAAATAGAATGATAATTGAATTAGGGTTTGTTTATGCACAATTAATGTTTGATGATATGCTAATGAAAACTGCCCTGTCACAGCCGTGACTTTTTGAGTGACTTTTAGGCATCTTACAGATTAAACTAAGTTGAGACCAAAAATAAAAGTTGTAGCCCTGTCTCTAAGCTTTAAAACGAGACCAAAACCGTAGCAATCGAGGTGTTAATACTAAGTTATGCCTCCTTGAGTGTGACATGCGCAGAATGATGTTTTGATGCAATATTGCATTTGTGCATTTCATAAGTGCATTAGTAAGAAACTTTAAGCATGAACCATCTTATGCATTAATTGTGCATTGAGAAGTAGTTTGAGAAAGAGTTGAGAACTTTGTGAATGAGCTACTCTAAAAGTAAAGAGAATGAGAAAAATCTAAGAACGGGTTGGTGCTTTGTGAACTCCACAGAAGTTATGAAGAATGGGTTGGTGCTTAGTGAACTCCACCGGAAGTCACAAAGAGTGGGTGGTGCTTTGTGAACTCCACCGGAGTGCCTCCGGTAAGATGAGGCCGTGACATTCCAGTGAGAAAGAATGAGAAAATATAAGAAAGAATAGAGGAAGAGAATGAGTAGAAGTCACGAAGAGTGGGTGGGTGCTTTGTGATCTCCACTCAGCCGTGCCTCCGGTAAGATGAGGCCGTGACATACAATAGAAAGTTGCTAGAAAAGAGCTATGTGAAAGAGAAATAGAAAGAGAAAATAAATGATATGAGAAGAGTGTAAGGAAAGAATTAAGAGAAAGAGTCACGGGGATAGACGAGTAGAGGATTTACTTACTGAGCATTATTTTGTACTCACCCCGTTGTTTTTCTTTGTGTTTGCAGGATCTAAGTGAGGACGCGGTCGGATGGACGTCGGCAAGTGAGGAGTAATAGCTACACTGTCCACTGTTTTTGATAACTTTTACTAATGATGCCTTACTTTGTATAAAGAATGATTAAATGTATTGAAAGAAACTTTTGGGCCCATTTACTTTTGCTAATATAAATATATGTACTTGATGTATTTCTATGAGTATCCTAGTATGAAGCAGTTATTACAAACACCATTGTATAGATTGCCGCTTGACGATCGCAATGGTGTTGTCGTTGTCAACCCATTCGCTGTTGACAAGTTCACGAACGACTATGACCGACCACCATCGGTGATGGTTGTTTGGTGGAGATTGGCCAATTTTCTGTTTCTTTTAATTTCAAATTTTTCTATTTAAATAATTACATTTTAATTTGTTTTAATAATAGAAGAAAACCTTATTTAAAGTACACATATTTTGGTCTTTTTACATTTCTAATATATCATTTCCTAAAAGCAACAGTGATTTTTAAATTAAGAAAAACAAATACCCTAGTAGCTTATTTCCAAAGGGGTAATACTACTATCGTCGGGTTTGTGAGATACATTTGCCAATCTATCTTTATTCTTTCCAAAGTTGACCCATAAGTAATTATAAGATAAGCTACATCAATCCTAAGCTAAGCCTGGGTGAGTTTGGGGTTGCTGTAGCTTCTCCTTTAATCACTCATTTCATAATCTGTAATGTTAAAAGTGCTTGGTCAACTAGTTTCAAAAGTTATTACATTACAAGCTGATTATGAAATAATCTATTTTTTAAAACGATTCCAAAAATAGGTTTTTGTAACTTTTGGATTTTAAAAGCTGCTTTTGATTGTTTAATTACAAAAAACACCTTAATGATATATTTAATTCAAATTTATTTTCGTAAATGATTTTTTTATTAAACTCATAATTTAATACAAAATATCAAAAATTAGTAAATTGGAAAAATTAGCAATAGATTTGCACTGGACGTTAACCGTTGACGGTGGCCAGTCACCATTGCTGGAGGAGTGTCTGGCAACATCGCCGATAACATTGAGATTGCCATGAGACGATCTACACAGTGTTATTGGATTGGCAACCAAAGGCTTTGCCATTTAGTTTCGGTTTTGGCACCACTGTGTATATCGTCATCAAAGGTATGAGGGGTGTTGCAAGACGCTCCTCTGGCTATGGTGATTGGCTATCGCGGGCTATTGACATTCGGTGACTCTGCAACAAGTTTTTTTTTTTTTTTTTTTTTATATTTAAAACTTTTTTATTTAAAAAAATTGTTACTAATATTATAGTAACTTATTAAATGAAAAAACTTTATTTTTGTCATTTTATAGCAACAAAATGTATGTCTTAAAAGCAAAGTAATTTCGAAATTTATGAAAACAAACACCATGTAAATAATATTAAAAGTTGATTATGGATAAAGTTGGCTCAAAAGTGATTAACGGATAAGCTACAACAATTCAAACTAAGCCTTATTTTTTGAACCCTTTGACACTATTGCAAAGGAAGCAGCATGTGATCAAGGGGTGTTTGTGATAAAATATTGGAAGTTTAAGGGAACAATTGATACAAAACGGGAAAGTCACATCCAACTTGGACTTGGATTATCCAAGTGATAACAACGAAAATCCTTGGCGTGGTTTGAAAATTGTTCCATTTGAAAATTATGTTTGACCCGAAAACTCGACTTCATTTGGGTCCGTTTGGCTGAATTTGTTAACCCATATTAGGGTTGTATAGAAAAAAAACCGAATCGAATCTGATTTTTCGGATACTCAAAAATTTGGATTGGTTTCGTATAATTTTTATGTGATATTTGAATTTTCATGGTTGGTTTTATTTATCATTATTCTTATATTGTTTTAAGTTTTATTTATGATTTAAAGATCTGAGTCAATTTTTGTTTTCTTGTTTATATATATATATATATATATATATATATTTTGGGTTTTGGTTGATTAAATCTGGAGAGAATTTTGTTTATTTTATAATTTTGTCTATAGTTAACCTTTAATAGTGTTGAATTTTGAGATATTGTTGATTGATTTATGTTTCATGATTTTGGTTTTACTTTTAATTATAATAAAGCTCTTTGTGTTTGATTTTGTTCTTCAAATCCTGACATTCGTAGCTAGAGAGATCAAAAAGATTACTGAATAATAAGTATGTGGTAAATATGTATGAGAAGTTTGTATATTTTAATGGCTTCCATGCCATCACTAACCTTTCTTTCAATGGCTTGAACAAATAATGAAATAAATTTGTTAACTGTAAACCGGGTATTCGGAAACCGACCCGAGTATTCGGGTACTCCAATCACCGGTTACTCTAAAAAACGGTTCGGCTTATAGGGGCACCCGAATATGGTACCCGGTTTATAGGGCACAGCCCTGACCCATATTAGTGAACCGACTCTCTCTCTCTCTCTCTCCCCTCTCTGAGAGACTTTCCACGTTAATTAAAAAAATGTTGCTGGTTTAGTTAACTCCAGTCTCAAAATCTTTCACTTGGCTCTGTAGGATTTCTCTCCGATTGCAAATTTTTCATTTCTTTCGGTTCTGCGCTGAATCTAATCTCCATCTCTTTGTGGAAAGATGGGCAAGCACGTGGTTTCTGACGAAGAAGGTTAGCCCTCAAAATGCCCTAATCTTTATCCTTTTTTGCTTGAGAGTGCTCTAAAATGGGCTCTTTTTTTTATTTTTTTATTTTGTTCAGATGAGGTCGAGTACGAAGGAGAAGAAGACCAAGAACCCGTTGAGGGGGATGCAGTCGAGGGTCGAGATGACGATGAAGAGGATGAAGATGATGGTAAGAGATTTGGGTTTGGATCGAATTTTGATTTTTTTTAGCCTTAGGGCTTATTTTCATGGGAGTTTTAGGGAGCTTGTGTCTATTTTTTTTTTTTTTTTTTTTTTTAGGGTTTTTCTGTTTTTGGTTGTGAGGTTACATGGCCTGAGGTGATTTTTATTTAGGTTTTATTTTTTTAAACGGATTAGCTGTTTGGTTGCTTAGAAAATAGGGAAAGAATAATGCAACCTGTTTTTGTTATATTTTGATGATTTAGACAATTTTTGGTAAAGCTGGTGGAGTAGAATCTGGGTTTTCAAGATTATCGTATGTAAAACTGGTTGTTTGTTTGATGAGAAAGGTTGGGAAGTTGCGTGTGAATATGAATTGGCGTTTTTATGCATGTTAAGCTTCTATTCTTTTAGTGCTTAATGCAAGTATACAATGAAACTTTAGTGTTAATAGTAATTCATAGAAGTCAAGCTTAGAGCTAATCAAACAGAGAATCAGGCTTCATTAATGGTTGGATTCTTTGTGGTTATGACTGTATATGCATGGATTATTGTTCAAACATATTGGAATTATGTGTTTTAATGTGTTGATATTCAATCTGTTGCTTGAATGGCATTTATTGCTCATATCGTGTTTGGCCTATTGTCTCTTCCTGGTTCTGTTTCAAATTTGATTTTATGTTGACCAGCCTATTTTTTTTATGGGTAACATGCTCATTTACATGGCATGCCCATGTCCATGCCCAGTTTTATATCTTCAATTCATTGGCTTAATAAAATATGTATTATTTTTCTGGTTTTAATTGTTGTGGTTTTGGTGTCACGGGATTAATATTCTGTGTGGTCCTTTTATTTTTTTAAGTTCTTTATTTCACATATTCCTTTTTTTACTTGGGTTATATCTTGGTTCATTATTTAGTATGCAATGCATATGAATAATTTAATTATTTTTGTGCAGAAGAAGGGCAAGATGAATATGAGAAGGATGGATTCATAGTCGATGATGTTGATGAAGAAGAAGACGAAGAAGAGGAAGAGAGGGCTGACAGTGATGAGGAGAGGCAGAAGAAGAAGAAGAAAAGGAAGAAAAAGTATATATCTTTCTCCCATGACCTTTAAATCTCTGGTGGAGTGCTCTAAATTTGTGGAATTTGTGAGAACACGTAGGAGCCAAAAGTTTAAGTGACAAGGTTTTCATTCAAGGATTGGTGATAGTAACCATCTTCATTTTTCTATCATGCTAATCTTGTCTTAGCATTAAGCTAGTTTATGGTTTTTCTTTGTTTCTCTTTTTGTACCTCTTTTTCCCTTGCTTTTGTGAGTGTATGTCTCTGTGGAGCAGAGCAATAAAATTGTGGTTCTAATTTTATTTATTTATTTTTATTGAGTTTCAACCTTTTGCAACAATTTATGAAGAGTTTGTTCCTGTTCTAATAACTGCTGTTCAACATTCTTAGGGAAGCTGAGGACGTCCTTGATGAAGATGACTATGAGCTGCTCCGGGATAACAATATTAATTACCGTCCAAAGGTGTGAGTTTTATTTTCACCCTTCTAGTTCCCTTCGCAAATGATTTTGTAATCACTTAATTATGTCCATATTCATGGGGGTTCGGAAATTTTTGCAGGAAAGCAAAAAATTTAAGCGGTTAAAAAAAGCTCAGAGGGATGCTGATGAAGATCGATTTGGATTTTCGGATGAGGAGTTCGATGGAAGTGGTAGGGGTGGAAGAACTGCTGAGGAGAAGCTTAAGCGTAGCTTATTTGGTGATGATGAAGGTATATATTATCTTAAAATCCTCACTATATTATTATGATTTTGTTTCAGTTTTTTATGAATTGATTCTTTAACTGATATTGTAGGACCACATCTTGAGGATATTGCTGAGGAGGAGGAGCAAATAGAAGAAGAAGAAGAGGACGGAGACATTGGTGAAGAAGATGAAATGGCAGACTTTATCGTAGATGAAGAAGAAGTTGATGAGCATGGAGCTCCTGTGAGGTATATAATGTGGCATGAAAGTGTAGAGTTGTTTTTTGTGTTAAAATTTCTATTGAATAATTAACTCATTGTGTAGACGGAAGAAGTTGAAGAAAAAGAAATCTAGGCAGGCTCCAGGAGTTTCATCATCAGCTTTGCAGGAAGCGCATGAAATATTTGGTGATGTTGATGAACTTTTGCAGCTTCGCAAACAAGGGTTTGATTCTAGTGAATGGAGAGAAAGGAAACTTGAAGATGAATTTGAACCAATTATTCTCTCCGAAAAGTATATGACAGACAAGGATGACCAGATTCGGATGACTGATATTCCAGAACGAATGCAGGTTTTGTGTCTTGCTTCCAGAATGTAACAATGCTACACTTGCAAAATAAGTATCTCAACTTTGCATCCCTAGGGATGTGATTCTTGCTTTATCAACAGCAGAGAAATGGTGAAATGATGTGCTAAATGATATAAGTACACAAATAACTTTCCATATCACTGGAGATAAATTTGGATACTGACTTTCTAAGTGTAGATTGCTCTTGAAATATTTCTCAGCAGTTACCCTGAGTATCTTGATATAAGCAATAGTTATGTTACTTATTATTATCCTTTTTCTGTAGATTTCTGAGGAAAGCACGGGTAGTCCTCCGACAAATGAAATTAGTATTTTAGATGAGAGCAGTTGGATATATAATCAGCTTCTCAGTGGTACAGTGCCTTTGTTTGGTCATAGAGGTGCTGGGTCACCTATAGAGGGGCAGGATTTGTCTATAAACAAGGATGACATCTCGAGATTTTTGGACCTATTGCATGTGCAGAAGTTAGACGTAAGTATTTTCTGATTAATGTTGGTGACCTTTCACCCTTTCATCTTTCTTTATCTTATCATGCTGTTATTTCTTCTTGCTTTCAGATTCCCTTTATAGCTATGTATCGGAGGGAAGAGTGCTTGAGCCTATTAAAAGATCCTGAGGAACAAGAAGTTGATGATGATAACAAGGATGATTTCGAGAGACCACCTAAATTGAAAAGGCACAAGGTCATTGAGCTTGTCATGGAGTGATTGAATTAGCAACTTGATTATGTAGGAAAAAAATTATTTATTAAGAAAAACATAACCTTAGGGAATAATGGCTTATTTACTGTTTTTTAGGTACTTTGGGCAATTCAAGACTTGGACAGAAAGTGGTTGCTTCTACAGAAGCGAAAGAGTGCTCTTGAATCGTATTACAAGAAGCGTTTTGAAGAAGAATCTCGACGGATATATGATGTAACAAGACTAGCTTTAAATGAGCAACTTTTTGGTTCAATTTGTAAGTCACTCAAGGATGCAGAATCAGAGAGAGAGGTTGATGATGTTGACTCAAAGTTTAACTTGCATTTTCCTCCCGGTGAAGTTGGTGTGGATGAAGGTCAGTATAAGAGGCCCAAGAGGAAATCACAATATGGTATCTGCAGTAAGGCAGGTCTATGGGAGGTTGCGAGCAAGTTTGGTTACAGCTCTGAGCAACTTGGTTTGCAGTTATCCTTGGAAAAGATGGTAAGTTTGCTTCATTTCTGATTGTTGTTGCATTGTTATGGATGAGGTTACTTCCCTAGTTTGTGCATGTTTTTTTCTTAAACTAATCTCTCTGTCCAATAAACATCATGAAATGTTGAACAAATTCAGTTTTTGATTGTAGGGATATGAATTAGAGGATGCTAGGGAAACACCTGAGGAGATGGCCTCAAATTTCACGTGTGCAATGTTTGAGACTCCTCATGCTGTGCTTAAAGGGGCTAGGCACATGGTACGTGTTGATATTTTTGTTGGTCATACTAATAAGTACAAGAAATTTTGCTTTCTGGTGCTTGATTATCAGTTCAGGTTCTAATTTTTCTTTCAATTTTTGTGGACTGATTCAGGCTGCAGTTGAGATAAGCTGTGAGCCATCTGTCAGGAAATATGTCCGTAGTATCTTTATGGATAATGCTGTAGTCTCAACAGGTCCAACACCTGATGGAAATTTAGCAATAGATTCTTTCCATCAGTTTGCTGGGGTGAAATGGTTGCGGGAAAAGCCGTTGAGAAAATTTGAGGATGCACAATGGCTCCTTGTACAGAAGGCTGAAGAGGAGAAGCTTATCCAAGTCAGTTTTAAGTTGCCAGATGATGCTCTGGATAAGTTGATAAGTGACTGCAATGAGCATTATCTTAGCGATGGTGTCAGCAAATCTGCCCAGCTATGGAATGAACAGAGGAAGTTAATCCTGCATGATGCACTTAATGGTTTTCTTCTGCCTTCTATGGAGAAAGAAGCTAGATCGATGATGAGTAGTAGAGCTAAAAACTGGTTACTCTTGGAATACGGAAAGGATTTGTGGAATAAAGTTTCTGTGGGGCCGTATCAACGGAAGGATAATGATATTATCTCAGATGATGAAGCTGCACCAAGAGTCATGGCTTGCTGTTGGGGCCCAGGAAAGCCTGCTACCACTTTTGTGATGTTAGATTCGTCAGGGGAGGTGCTAGATGTGCTTTATGCTGGATCTCTAACTTTACGGTCTCAAAACGTGAATGATCAACAGCGTAAGAAAAATGACCAGCAACGTGTTTTGAAGTTTATGACGGATCACCAACCACATGTTGTTGTTCTAGGAGCTGTAAACTTGTCCTGTACCGGGCTGAAGGATGATATTTATGAGGTAAGCATTAGTAGTTCACTTTCTTGTGGTCTCCAGATTCACACTAAGGTTATGTTTTATTGACATTCTATGTCTTGTTATGGAAATGGAACTTCAGTGTCCATTGCACTCAGTAACTTATTGATATTGAACATGGGATTAACTAAGGCAGATGCTCTTTATTTCTTGTGTGTTGTGGAGATTCAATTGCTGTGTGTAGACCAATGGTTTTGGTTATGTGAAGTATAGTTGGGTTTTTTTAGGTGACTAGATCTTAGATCCTAATTTGTTGCAAGTTGGCAATACAAAATATTGTGTTCTTAGGTCATTACATCTCAGGAACTTGTGGGGTACAAGGTATTTGGCCTTTTTTCTGGATCCCTGGTTGTATGAGATCAACATTCAATTGGTTTTGTTTGGACATTCCTAGGTTTTACCTTTTCACATGCAATTTCAGATTATAATTCATGCTCTCTGAGACTTGCAGCTGTGAGGACTTTCTCAGGTTACTTCAGTACTACAAATTGATTAATGCTTAGTAGAAGACTGCATATTTGCATGTTAAACTATATGCAGCTCTAGCCCTGCTCTGCATTTGTAGGTTATTTGAAAAGCGAATTGCATTGCAACTTGTCATTGTTTCTGTGAATAAATTGTTTTATTGTCTGCGTATGAGTACATGCAATTTCTCTTAAATTCTTTTTTTTATTTGGGTGGAAGGGGATTTTAAATTCACTCCATTATTCTCATTTAGGAAATGGATTACAATTTCCCTTTTGATGCTTATTTATTTATCCTGTTTATTATCAGATCATTTTTAAAATGGTGGAGGAAAATCCTAGAGATGTTGGGCATGAGATGGATGAGCTAAGCATAGTATACGGAGATGAATCTTTGCCTCGCCTATATGAAAATTCTCGGATTTCATCGGACCAGCTGCCTGGACAGTCAGGTTATTGCATTTTTGCGTTCTGAATTTTGTTTTCTTGAAGAAGTATTTTATTCAATGCTCATTTTTTCCCTTATTTTTTCAGGCATTGTTAAACGGGCTGTTGCTCTTGGGCGCTATTTGCAAAATCCATTGGCAATGGTTGCAACATTATGCGGACCTGGGAGGGAGATCTTGTCCTGGAAGCTTGGTACTTTTGAGCACTTTCTCACCCCTGATGAGAAATATGGGATGATTGAACAGGTTATGGTAGATGTCACAAACCAGGTTGGCCTGGATATTAATTTGGCTGTAAGCCATGAATGGTTGTTTGCTCCACTTCAATTCATATCTGGCCTTGGGCCTAGAAAAGCGGCATCTTTACAGAGATCCCTAGTAAGAGCTGGAGCAATTTTCACTCGGAAGGACTTTGTGACAGCCCATGGTCTTGGTAAAAAGGTGTTTGTCAATGCAGTTGGCTTTTTGCGTGTTCGGCGGAGTGGGCTTGCTGCTAGCAGCAGTCAGTTCATTGATCTTTTGGATGATACAAGAATCCATCCAGAATCTTATGGTCTTGCACAGGAGTTGGCAAAAGAGGTATATAATAGGGACATCGAAGGTGATACAAATGATGATGAAGATGCATTGGAGATGGCTATAGAACATGTGAGAGACCGGCCTGATTTATTGAGAACCTATCTTCTGGACAGACATATTAAAGAAAAGAAGCGTGAGAATAAGAGAGAGACGCTATATATTATAAGAAGGGAACTAATACAGGGTTTCCAGGACTGGCGTAATCAGTATAAGGAACCAAGTCAAGATGAGGAATTCTATATGATTGCAGGTGAAACTGAAGATACTCTTGCTGAAGGGAGGATTGTGCAAGCTACAGTCCGAAGGGTACAAGGTCAAAGAGCAATATGTGTGCTTGAATCAGGATTGACTGGAATGCTTATGAAGGAAGATTATTCTGATGATTGGAGGGATATTTCAGAGTTGTCTGACAGACTGCATGAAGGTGACATTCTCACCTGCAAGATTAAATCAATTCAGAAGAACAGATATCAGGTGTTCCTAATTTGTAGAGAGAGTGAGATGAGAAATAACCGATACCAGCATGTTCAAAACCTTGATCCATACTATCATGAAGACAGGAGCAACCGTCAGAGTGAGCAGGAAAAAGCTCGAAAAGAAAAGGAGCTTGCAAAGAAACATTTTAAGCCACGGATGATTGTTCATCCTCGCTTCCAGAATATAACAGCTGATGAAGCAATGCAGGTGTGTCACTGATTATGTTCTGACTAACTTTTTTGAACTTTTACATATGTTGTACATGAGTCGAATTTCAAGTCTTCTTATAAGTAAAGCAGCTTATTTTGAATTTCAAATAGAGAGAGGTTATGTTTGAATGTCTTCACTATCAAATCGTTTAAATTTGATTTCATCTGAAAAATGATTCTAAAATATGCTATGTATCTGCACTTTGGTTATCTTTACATGTGTTTAATATATCCACATATCATATTCAATTATATACTATGAGACTGACTTTGATTGAGTTTTTGTGGAAAGAAAGAAAAGAAGAAACAAATTTAATATGTTGACTAGGTAGAGTTATTTGATAAATGAAATCCATAACCAGCCTTGGGGCACATCTGTTGACAGTAGACACAGACATGGTGTGCCGGATTTGTATTGGGGAACTAATCAAAATCATAAACTGAAACTTAGAGCCATTTTGTATGCTATAATGATTTGTTTCTTTCATGCAGTTGCATTGATCAGTCCCCTGGTTAGTTTATATATCTCCTGAGGTCAAATATGCAATTACACTATCACTCATGTTTGCGAATTCTAAACTAGTTATGAGATTTCTGAACATTTTGTTTCATACTGAAGCAATGATTAATGTATTGGGATAACGCGTGATTTGGGCCATTCTAGTGCCTCCTTTTTTAACTTCTGGCTTTCTTATGAATTGCTTGTTTTGTGTTTTATATGACATGGCCTAGCCTAGTCTTTCCATAACATTTTTGGGAAGTGGGCTTAGAGCTTATGCGGTTAATATTTACCTAGATGTACGTGTCCACATTCATTATTATTTTTATTTTTTGTGGACAGTTTTGTACTCGAGATATTGAGATTTTTTTTATTTTTTTTTGTATAATTTCCTTAAAGGCTCTGATTTCAATTGATTATCTCTAGAACAGAGCATGTAGTATTTTCTTGTATATTTATTGATTAAGTTTTCTAATGAATTTGTAATACAGGCCTTAATTCTTTTTATTTTAATCATGTTTAACAGTTCTTATCAGACAAGGATCCTGGCGAAAGCATCATTCGTCCTAGTTCTCGTGGGCCTTCTTATTTAACATTGACTCTCAAAGTTTATGATGGAGTGTATGCTCACAAGGACATAGTTGAAGGTGGAAAGGAACATAAAGACATCACAAGCTTGCTTCGAATTGGGAAGACGCTGAAAATTGGGGAGGACACTTTTGAGGATTTGGATGAGGTCAGTCACACTTGTTTTAGAATATCGTTATGGAAGTTTGCTCTGTCAATTGGTTTCAGCATCGAGGAACTATGCCTTTTTTTTTTTTAATAATATGAAACAAGAAACTGTGTTTTATTAATATCAGAAGAGAATTAAAAAGTTAGTAAACAAACTGTAGGACAAGCAAAACCTAGGTCAGTATTTCTTATTGATAAGGAACTAACTATGAACCTGAGAATAAGTAGTGAAGCAGCAAATGATGGAAAATTTCAGACTCTTTTTCACACAAATTACAAGTAGTTGGATAAGCAAAACATGGTCAATGTTTGAACAATGACATGTGTTAGCCTTCTATGAGCCAATATCCTAGCAAAAGCTGTATTTTACATGGTTTACCCTTCCAGAACGTTAAAGCTGATGGGAAAGTTGAAAGGGAAGAAAAATCTACAGGCCATTTGAATAGGAAAAACACCCGAAGAATCAGCCTTGAAGCTGGTCCTTTTCCAAACTATTTGAAGCATCTTTTTGTATCGTTGTAAAGAAGATAGGATAGATTTCCAATCATTGAAACTCCTTACAAAATAAAAAATTCTATGCTATAGAAGATGAAGAATTAACCACTGGACCTTTCAATAGAAATAGGGTGAGATGCTGTTCATCTTTGAAGGCGAGGAAATAATAAGCAAAGAAGACTTTTACCCAGTCAAGAATCCTACTAAAGTAAAAATGTGTCTCTATTCTCTTCTGCAAATTCACTTGAGAGAAAAATATGGGAATATCCTTTGAGAAATTGCTTTCCAACTTCAACAAAGTTCCCTCAATTCAGATTAGAATCCCAAACATTAGCTGGAATGTCATATAGTTTTAATAACTACCAAAGGATCAGATGGCAGGTGCTTGAAATTAACATTGTAAATAGCTAATGTTTTAAGCCAGAATGATCAGATACAATACTTGGGGAATGGTGAAAATGGTACAATTTCTATTTTCTAGCATTACAGTAGATCAGCTTCTGTGAATTATCATGCATTTGTTGTTAAGGGCATAAGGAAAATGTGCCTTTTGATATCTGATCTGTTGCAAATGAAGTGAAAGCTGATAAATCTGCCTTGTTTTTCTTTAATATGTAGGTAATGGACCGATATGTTGATCCCTTAGTGGCCCACCTAAAGGCAATGCTTAGCTATCGTAAGTTTAGGAGGGGCACTAAAGCAGAAGTTGATGAGCTCCTAAGAATTGAGAAAGCAGAGTACCCAACAAGGATAGTTTATTGTTTTGGCATATCGCATGAACATCCGGGTACCTTCATTCTAACTTACATACGAAGTACAAATCCTCACCATGAGTACATTGGTTTGTATCCTAAGGGATTCAAGTTTCGTAAGAGGATGTTTGAGGACATTGATCGGCTTGTGGCATATTTTCAGAGGCATATTGATGATCCCCAGCATGATTCAGCACCTTCAATTAGATCAGTTGCTGCTATGGTACCAATGCGAAGCCCTGCCACTGGGGGCTCTTCTGCAGCATCTGGTGGTAGTGGCTGGGGTGGTTCAAACAATGATGGTGGCTGGAGAGGCCAGTCTGTTGACAGGGATCGTTCTTCTACGCCAGGTTCAAGAACAGGTACGTTCTTTAAATTCTTCAGCATTAGTCTGCTACTTCTTTGTATTGCACTTCAGTGCTTTCAGAAAGCAAATTTTCCTTTTATTCCCCTGGTATCACAATTCATTTGAACACAAACCATCTTATCTTCTGGTTAATTTGCAAAATCACTCGTGTTTTGCAACTTCATATGAATATAAGCTTCTACATAGAGTTCAAGTAAGTGGCCTGCTTATTCCTTTTAAGATCTTATGCTCCTGGTAAACAAGGAATAAGTTGATGTGTTTGCAATGTGCATTGCAGGCGCATGTGCTTGGTTGTTTAGTTTGCACGTGTATTCTATACATTATGGATTTGCATTTAGTTTATTTCGCATGTTCAATGTATGAGATAAAGCAGTCCTGTTTAGGTAATTCTAGTTGACATGTAATCTTCTTTTACCTACTCTTTGCCTCAGTCAATTTTGTGGTTTCTTGACTTGGGAAAGCTTCATTCACCTCTGTTGAGGCTTGGCCTAATATTTAGCTGGAACCTACTAATTTGGAAAATTGGTAAATATCGTGCGAATGCATTAAACATGCAATAGATGATCTAGTTTACATAATGAATCAATTACGTTTTTATTTGATAATGTCCTGTATATGTTGGTTATTTGGTCTGTGGATTATATTGGAGTGGTTGAGATTTTTTGCATACATGTTAAAGAGTTACTCCCTAAATAAACCTTTTATGAATGGTTCTAAACTTACCAAATACTATGTTCTGTATTTATAGGCCGAAATGATTACAGAAATGGAGGTAACCGAGATGGGCATCCAAGTGGGCTTCCACGGCCATATGGTGGTCGTGGGCGTGGTCGAGGTTCATACAACAACAGAGGAAATAATTCTGGTAATGATAGGCAGGATTCTAGTTACGATACTCCCAAGTGGGATTCAGGCACCAAGAGTGGGGATGATGGGTGGAACAGTTTTCCTGGTGCTAGAGTTCAAAATCCAGCTGGCAGGGAATCTTTCCCAGGTGGTTGGGGCAGTGGTGGAAGTGGAAGTGGTGGTGGGGGTAGCAGTGGTTGGGGTGGTGGTAGTGGTGGTGGTGGTGGTGGGGGTAACAGTGGTTGGGGTGGAGGTAGTGGTGGTGGTGGTGGTGACAATGCTGGCTGGGGAAGTGGTGGCACAGACAACAAAGATTCTGGATGGGGCAGTTCTTCCAAGAAAAGTTCAGACAATGGTTGGTCTGTAGGAGGTGGTGGTGGTGGTTGGTAAAGCTGTCAACTCTGACACTATCTCCATATCTAACTCCAATTTCAATCTTTTAGTGTAATTTAGAGGCCATAGTTTAGAATGGTAGCTTTTTATTCTCAGTTTCATGTTTCTATCCTTTATTTTCTCATTTCTTTTTGGGGTATGAAACACTGATGTAAAGGCATTTGCTATGTGTCCTGTATATGTATTTAAATTATTGTGAACACATTAGCAGAAGTGCCTTTCTTTTTTGCTTTAGGAAAATGCTACTTCCTGGGTATAGGAGCTTAAATTAATTTTAGTCTTTTCTAACCATTTGCTATTGCCACCACTATCGAACCATCTATAGTTATTTTTCCATATAAAATCTATTACAATGTCAAATAAATAAATAAAACATAATTAATTAATTACTGCATTTCATTTATCTTCCCATTAAGTTCCAAAATGAAAATCTTACACTGAGGAAAAGATAGAAACATTAACTAAAACAAATAAAAATAAGTAGTATCTTTTTACCTAATACATACTTCAACAATTGGTTCTACCTTATAAGTTCCTGGTACTGAATCTCTCTTTGCTGACTTTTACAAGGGAGAACGACATTTTTCCATCAAGGTTTAGTGAAATGACAATTTTTCCATCGTTAAATTTAGACATTAGTTTTAATAGCAAAATGGATATTTTTGTTGGTTCGCACAATATGTGTTCTGTTTATTAATAATAAATCTGTAAATATAATAGATAAATTAATATCATATTAATAAAAAAATTAAGCTTAAATCTTTCCTACAATAAAATTTTACATAACTCATCCATATACAGAAATCTTCCATAGAAAAAGATTATATGAAATTCTTCTATAAGACCAAATTTGCTTCACATAGTTCTTCAATACTACCAATAAATTACTTTACATAAATCTTCCATTCAAGCCAGATTTTGCTTAATAGAACTCTTCCAAAAAACACCCATAATTTAGTTTACAGGATACCCTACAAACTGAAACAGACATAGACAGAACAGAATAAGGGTTAGGGTCTTATTTTCAAACCAACGGGACTTGCATAACAACTGAAAATGGGGCAAATGATTAAAAGGCCATATTGGCTTTGAATTTAACTAAAAGGTCATCTAGTTTTTTAGTCTTTACCAAATAGCCTTATTTTTCTATTAAGACAAACTAATAACAATTAAACACTAATCATGGCTTAATTAGGATTAATGAAGTATTGTATAATCTTTTAACAATTATATATGCCCCCAAAACCTGAAATTCTTGCAAACAAACCCAAACATAACATCTTCTTCTTCTTCCTCCTGCCATTAACACACCCTCCCCTGGTTGCTGTTTATTCTAAGCTTTGTCTACATCTTGTTCTTCCTCCTTCTTGTACATCTTCTTCTTATTGCCATTAACACTATCTTCTTCCTCCGCCATTAACATCTTCTCCGCCATAGATCATTCTCCTCCTCCTCCTGACATTTTGTCCAGGTATGTGTATCTCCCCTTTCCATTTTATATTTCAATTTACAATGATTTAATGATGGATTAGGTTTGGGTTATGATTTTGATTTAGTTGTTTAGGTTGTTGGGTTGTGTTTGATGTAATGCAAGTTGAAAGGAGTAAAATTTGTTGAATATTTTCTTGCATTGTGGGTAGCTAGGGGTGGTAGCACTGATTGTAGATGGAGATGACTGAAAATGTGTTTTGAATATGATGGATCGCTTAAGCGATATGGTATGTCTGGTATAATGCAGCAGATCATAGATCGCTTAAGCAACCATGTATATGGTAGCAAATCGCTTAAGCGATCTGCTATAAGTCTGGTATATGGCAGCAGATCACTTAAGCGATCAGGAAAATGGCAGAAGATCGCTTAAGCGATTTGCTATAAGTCTGGTGTATGGCAGCAGATCGCTTAAACGATTAGGTAAATGACAGAAGGTCGCTTAAGCGATCAGGCTTATTTATACTAGATCGCTTAAGTAATCCATTATATCGCTTAAGCGATTTAGTAAGCGATATACCAGATCGCTTAAGCGATATATCAGATCGCTCAAGCGACTCTGTAGATGCCTTTTAAAATCTTTCAACCCTTAATACATTAGTTAATAATATTTTTTTTTCTTGCATTATAGGTACTTGGCTATTATTAGACATGGGACAAGTTGTTTTGGATGTTGAATATTTTAGTGAGTGGGTGGAGGAACAAAGTTGCTGGAAATGGATTGGGAAGAGCAAAGAAGTTATACCAATTGTTGTGAGCATAGAGGTTAGTTTCAATGAGTTGATTGATGAAATAATTAGAAGAAGTGATTTGAGTTGCTCACGTAGTGGTATAGTTGTGAAGTATGTTTTAAGCAGAGTTCTTGAACATTATAAGGTACCTCCTGCTATATTAAAGTCGGATGAAGGTGTGAAGTTATATATGATTAATATGGGCGATAATGGTTCGAAGCCGATTTTAAGAGTTTCTTTTGTTGATAAACCGTTGGAAGTTGGTTCAAAGGAAGGCGATAACGAGGAAGTCGGCGAAGGTAATGCTGGTTTTAATTTGAACTACGAGGGCATTGATTTCTTAGTTGAAAAATCAAGAGTACGCGGTGATTTGGGTGGTGAGGAATACACTGTAAAAGAGGTTGGTCATGTGCGGTAGAATGAAAATGTTGAGGATGAGGACCCTGTACATGTTCCCGCAGATGTAGAGATTCCTTTAAATATAGATTATGCAGAAGGTGTAGTTTGTGAGGAAGAGAACACTATGGTCCTTTATGCAGGTTCATAGGTGGCAATTGCAGGTAGTAGTGAATCAGCTCATGTTTTTACTGATGGATCGGACTTACGCATAGGGTATTTATTTGACAACAAAGAGGAAGTGGTGAGGAAGCTAAAATTTGTTGCCGTGAGAGGTAATTTTGAGTTCATCACCAGAAAGTCTAATTCATCGGTAATGACAGTTGCACGTTGTGACCGAAAGTGCAGGTGGCTGGTTTATTGTAGAAGGTTGGCGGAGTCCGAAAAATTTATTATTAGCACATATACCTGTGAGCACACATATGGTTTGGAACATATTTCAGGTGAGCATCGACAAGCCTCTGCTAATATTATTGGACAATTTGTCAAAAGTTAGTTCGTTGAAGGGAAAGATCCATCTCCTAAGGACATTCAGAGACTTGTACGCACAGAGTTGAGATGCGCTGTTAGTTACTGGAAATACGGGAAAGGGAGACAACATGCACAAGATTTTGTGAGGGGCACGCCGAAGCATGGGTACGTAGTATTAGAAGCGTACCGTTATATGCTTGAGTTGACAAACCAAAATAGCAAGACGACTTTGAAGTGGGATAAGAATATGAGGTTTAAATATTTTTTTATTGCTTACGGTGCTGCTATAAGGGGTTTTGTAAACATGAGAAAGGTGTTGGCTGTTGATGGTTGCTTTTTTACGGGAAAGTATGGAGGTACATTGTTGGTGGCCACTACACATGACATCGATAATCACACATATCCCGTTGCATGGTGTGTGGTTGACTCTGAGAACGACAAGTCGTGGACTTGGTTTTTTTAGCAATTACGTATGATAGTGCCTGACAGTGACGAGTTGTGCATAATATCTGATAGGCACAACTCTATAAAGAAGGGGTTGCCACTATTTACCCTCAAGCACATTGCAGATTCTGTATAAGGCATCTTGGTGAGAATATAAAACAAAAGTTTAAGTATGTTGGCCTCCTTCAGACATACTACATGGCATCAAAAGCTTATAGAGTTAATGAGTTCGAGGAGCACTTCCGGCATATCCGAATCAAGGATGATAGAATTGCTAAGTATCTTGAGCATGATATTGGTTTCGAGCGATGAAGTAGAGCTTACTTTCCTAAAAGAAGGTTTGATGTCATGACCACGAACATAGCCGAGTCCATAAATTCGAAGTTGTTAATAAAAAGAGAGTTTCCAATAGTTGCCCTTTTTGATGCAATCTAGAGGACATTGTCACAGTGGTTTCATGAGCATCGTACGGAATTAGATAATTTTACCACAACCCTTGTTCTGTAAGCTGAAAAATTATTTGCAAGAAAGTATAGAACTGTCAAATGCATTGTTTGTCAATCCTCTTAATGTTCAAGAGTTCATTGTGTGCGGCTATGGTCCGGATGCCCTTGATAACATTCTTAGTAAAACTTGCAGTTGTAAAGTGCTTGACAGTTAAAGTTGACCTTGTCTTCATGCACTAGCAGCACTGAAACACCAATGGAAGCTAGATTTTGGTTCAAGAATTTCCATGGAACTTTGCTCCCCTCTCTATATGGCAAATCACTATATACTGGCTTATTCGGAAATGATATATCTAGTTCCTTTAGAAGAGCAGTGGGTGGTGCCGGCAGAGTTGGTTGACATTATCAGCTATCCGCCATTCAAGAAGACAGAAAAGGGGAGAAAAAGAGTTAAGCGTATTCCATCAGCATGTGAGGTTCCCAGAGGGATGAATAAGTGCTCAATTGGCAAGCAACCTGGCCACAAGAGAAACAGTTGCCAAAATCAATCACGTGTAGATCCAGAAAATTAGGTTTGAATTGATCAGTAGCAAGAAAGCAAGCAATCTATAGATAAGATCAAATCACTTAAGCGATCGACTGTTATCTGCAGATCTGAACAGCAGATCGTTTAAACGATCAAGAAGAAGGATGAAATCGAGAGAGTTACCAAGGCCAACCGTTGAAGAGTTGTTGTTTTCAAATTTTTATGTTTTAAATTTTATTGTTACTTTGAATAAATCGTCCTTTATAATGTATTAAATCAAATTAATAATTTTTCATTTTCATCAATTTTAAAAAGGGTTTAAGTTAGTAAAATTTCACATATTACCTCTGTACGACACTGATTGCTGCCCAAAGAAGTAAGACAAGCAAAATAAATATTATCAACATCATTGTCGTATCAAGACAATTAATCAATTTACTGAATTAGTCACGAGTGTGGGACATTAATAGAAATGTACCTCATTTCACAAATATGGATGGTTATGATTGAATATAGAGCTCACCCATAATACGGAATATAATTTCTCACTCAAACATGCACAATATCAAAAGATCAGCGAGATAAGAAGCAAAATGTCCTTGGTCACTTAAGCGATCATGAATCGCTTATGCGACCAAAGCGAAAAGTGTAGAATCGCTTAAGTGGTTTTGATTCTGCCTTGGACATGATCGCTTAAGCGATCTACACCAAGGGTAAAAGTGAAGAATCACT